TGCATGTGGTTTTGGGATGGGATTGGGAAAGCAAAATTGATTGGGCTTCATAAAAGTTGATGATGCCCCAACTTTTCACAATATTTCAGGGAAAAAATCCTGGGTTTAAAAAGACCAGTTACACAAGTGTTTTCCATTCTGCTTCAATCTGCAACTTTAGCAATCTCCAGGTCAGGTTTTCCCTGCTGAATAAACGTGTATATATATATTAAACAAGATTGATTTCAAGACATTTGATTGATTGGATTCAAAATAACGTCTCTCTCTTCTTCCAAGGCCAGAGAGTAAAGAGATCAGCAAATGGCTGTAGGTTTTTAATAATTAATTCACTAACCATGAGCTTAGAAGACTAAATAAAAACAAGGTCTGCACATAAGGGTTCGATACCAGTGGCTTAAAAACACTTAAGGGGAATGCCAGCCAGGACGACACAGCAGCATACATCCATCCCACCCCACACTACCTCGCCTTCCATCCTTCCTGCTGCCGCAGAAAGGGCGCCTGTGAAGGGTAATTCAGATGACCTCTCTCTTTCCATTAATTACACAAAGCAAGCCTGGATTTAACCCCAGTCTGTTTTGTTTTTTGACAGTCTCCACAGAGCTGTGCAGTGTAGGCTCTACAGTGCCAGTCACACGGGACCTGCCCACCTCACACACACGCAGCAGTGACACCCCTCTCTGCCATGCCCGTGTTTCATGCCGGGCTAACACCACAAAACAGAGGATCATGTGCTCTGCTCAGCATTGGTTTTCCTCAGTGCCTGCCATTGCACCAAAGTTTGGCTTTGTTTCTCAGTGAATGCTGCATGAGAGGGGGGAGCTGGGATTTCACCTCTGGGGCCCGCAAGGCACAACTGTGCACCCGCAGCATGGGTTTGTCCTGCGCTGAAATGAACGCAGTTAAAAGTCCTCCTTATGTTTCTTTAATCACTTCCCATAGGATTTGCTGTATTAACACCCACACCACCAGGCCCTCCTAAAGCAAACAAATAGGCAAAAATGAACCAACCTGGGAAAGGCAGGTCAAGTGGCATGGCAGGAGAGCCCCCATTGCCAGAGTGCTGCGGGAAGACAAGGAGGAGAAACAGCCTGGGAGGAAAAGGACAGCGCAACTGCAGAGCTCTCTGCCACGACACAGGGCACTGCTGAGACACTGCTGACAGCTCATGGGTAATGGTCAGGGGATGGGCAACCCCAGGGGTGGTGTGAGGGCATCTGCTGCGGACAACCTCACCAGGAGGTGAAGCAACTCTCAGGCACTTGGAGGGAGCCTCTTGATGGCAGGGCCAGGTGTTCCCAGGGGACTTTTTGCCCCCAGCAATAGCTTCTGGAAGGATCCCAGGCTGTGGCACAAAAAATTCTCTGGGAGTGGGGCTGATGGGGCGGCATCTCCACTGGGGTAGAGGGGATGCAGCTCCACAGGCAGGATACACAGGGTAGGGGGGTGGTGGAGGGCAGGGTTAGTGACAGACAAGAAATCACCCAGCAGGTCCACAACGATGGAACAGATTTGAGACAGAAGAATTGTGACCAGGAATGGGAATGGGACAGCACAGCCCAAACAAGGACTTATGACCTCAAAGGCAAAGCTCTTGGTGTGAGAGGTGAGGCCTCAGGTGAGGCTTCTCCCAGCTGCTTCTCATGCTCTCCTTAGTGGCTTCCTTGCAGCCTGATCCCAGGCACCACTGCAGAAAGGCAGAGCTTGCCTCAAATACAGGCAGCCATAACCTAGGAAGGACAAGACGGAGGCTCAGGTCTCTGATGCAGCAAAAATGAGGAAATGTAAGCAAATGAAACTGAAAAAAAATCCTCTTTTGTTTCCCTACACAACCAGATGTCATGGAGGACAGGAGGTACAGGTACATCAGAGGGAGCTGGTAGAAGGCAGAGGCTGGACATAGAGAGTACAGCAGAGTGTAGGAAAGATAACAGCAATCTCTGCTCCCATTTGTCTGTGCCCCTTTACTAATTTTCCTCAGGGAGAGGGAGGAGGACCATGTCTAAGGCTGACCTTCAGGATCACCTATTTCCTTAGGCTTTCCCAGTCCCAACAGATGGGATGCTCCAGATTCCCAGAGACACCTCCAAGCTGAACCAGGCATCTTCTGATGGGGCAGTCTGGTTCTTGTGGTTTTGTACTTCAAATGCAACAGTTTCTTTTTCAAATGCAGGATCCGAGGCCACTAATATTTATGACTCCTGTGGTAGGCGATGGGTATGGGTTCAGCGAAATTAATGTAAGCCTAGCAAGAACTGTCTTTGTGCCTCATTTCCACTACAGGGGATATCAGGACAGGTTGTTACCACTGTGTAAGAGGTTAGGAAGCATGCACTCATTCATCTAGAACCAGCTCTTGTTGGGAGTATGGAGTTTTTCTCAGCTGTTTTGCTATTGTCTTTCCAAAGCAAAAAGCAACCAAAAAAGAAAGGACTGTGCCATCTAGACCATACATAAGTCTGCCAAACAAACTGGATCCCTCTGTTGGCTAGAATTAAATACCTGTACATGGCAGGAAGGCTAGCAAATCTGCTAAAAAAAAAAAAAAAAAAAAAAAAGGAAAAAAAAGGACTGGTCACCTGCTTCTGCCAATTCCTCCTCACAGCGGTAGGGGGAGAAAAGAGATCAACTTAGAATTCACGATGGTCAGTCTGTCTTACACTTAATTAGCCCACGCAAATTCTCGCCCTAAGTTTCCCAGGGTGATATTCACAAAGACTTCCCTCCAACTAGCACAGGAAAAAAGATTCCAGAGGGTGATTAAAGCCAAGGACAAACTGAGGTTGCTCTGAATTAGCTTGTGGGAACCAAGAGTTTATCCTGTAAAAATAATGCACTGTGAGATGACAGACAATTACACTACAGCACCCCTTTAGGCAGCTGCTCCAGAGACTAATCTTTCTATTGTGTAAAGCAGTGGATGAACATGTTACCTCTTCTGAAATACCTGTGCTGACCACTTTTAGAATGTGGGTTGCAACCCTTCAGTCCTTCTTTCCCTCACACTCCACCAAACTGAAATGAAGGATAATAAGACAATAAAAACGGTGACAAATATGCTTCCTATCTTTGGATAACATCTGTCTACCAGACTGCTCAGGGAGCTCATGATCTGACAGATTCCACCATGGAAACAAAGGAAAAAAATCTTCAATTATGCAGCTCCTGAGGTCTTTAAACAACATGGCTTGAGATTTTTGGCAAAGGAGATGACAGAACACCGCAAAAACAAACAAACAAACAAACAAACCAATTAGTCCTTCATGTTTCAAATACTCATCATCCTAGGAGGAGAAACAGAGATTCATGGCAACAATTCATGATGGGGAGTCAACAGTTCCTTTTGCAAATGTTTTGGGGTTTAAGTCCAGCTCTTGGTCTCAGTTTAGGGAAGCCTCCGAGTCTGGTGTTAACTTTCTGGTGTCACTTTCCTGAAGGGCTTCATCTGTGGAGCCTTGACATCATTTGCACTGCAGACCACCTGGGAAGGAGTTTAAGACACAGATGCTGTGTGTCACACTGGCAAAACAGTAGTGGTGAGAAATTTCAGCAGGACTATTTTGCTTAATCGAAACAAAGTACATTCTCATAGAAACGATGACTGATACTACTGACCAATAATATATTGTTTGTGGTCACAAAACTGCTAGACTTAAAAGTAATTAAAAAATTTACCAGCTATTCATTGAGGAAATTTCTGGTGAGGAAACTTTTCCAACTTTTGCAGCTCAATTTCTTGGTGTAAATGCTATTCATATCCTTCCCCATTGTCGCTACGTGGCTACCACTTCATAAAACAGCCAGATGTTTGATAGAAGTTTTAAAATAGCCTGCTACAAGGAAAAATTGCATGGAAATTATCAGACAGGTGAAAATCTGCCTTTCTGGCAACGTGAGGAACTCACTATTACTAGCTACATTTGCCTGTGTCATCACATGAGGCCATGCAGATCCTGTGGAGGTTGATTACTCCATAGACTGAAAGAACTTGGGATGAAAACTGCAACAGTCTGCATACCAGGAAAGGTGTCTCCTTTGGCAAGTGATGACCGAGATCACGAAGTTTTATTCTTTGTCAAAGTAAATTGAGATTTTTCTCTGTTAAAACATGCAGGCCACTTGCCTATTTCTCCTTGGGCCTACTGCAGACCTTTCAGCACTAATGGACTCTCAGTTTTACCCCTGCCCTTTCAATCATATAATTCCATGTTTATACATGATACAAACACTATCATCAGAACACAAATACATCATCAGAAAGGCAAGAAGGTAAGTCAGATTGAGGCCAACACTATTTCTGGGGAGTAGAGATATTCATGTGTTCTGCTTATTTTTAGCAAAAGATGGTGGGTAAATCTGAGCCAGCACATTCTTCATTCAATCTGTCCCTGGCCACTAACAGATGGTGCTTCCTCATGCCAAGCACTAATGCACTTTACATTGGCACTCTGTGTCAGGACACAAAGCTCGCCAAGTCCCTGCTAATCCTGCTGATGCCAGGAAAATTGGTAATAAACAACGAGCCAGGGACACAGTCCCAAGTTTTTACTCTACCTCCAAAGCAGCACAGAAGCTGTACCAGTGCAACAGTGTCAGCTGCTCTCCAGCTTGTGGCTATCAGTGAAGCAAAGGAGGGCCCTGGATGGGGGGAAAAAGGGATCCTGAGGCCATGCTGGTATGTATCTAAAGATGGAGATTGATCCACTTGCTTCATGGTAACTAGCTGTCTGCTTAAAACTGGGCTTTGAGAACCCTGACCACTGGGGCCTTAGTGTTCAAATATGTGAACTAATGGTAATTAATAAAAATATAAATAATTTTATATATATATATATATATATATGTACACATATTGCCTGGCAGTGTAATTTTATTGTTTAGCATTTCTTAGTGACCCTTGAGCACTGAACATATCAAATTCAGTCTTACAGGTCTACTTGCTATGGCTACTAATCCCAAGTGATAAGGTCACTTACAAAAGAAAATTTTACAGACTCCTCTGAGGAGCTCACTCTGTTTTACAGTCAGTTGTGTTTATTCTTTGAATACAAGCATCCAAAATTCTTGAGCTGTAAAATTCCTGTTCCTTTCCACCAAGTGCCTCAGCGCCGAGGCTTCTTTCTTGGATTGCTCGAAGCTTGGTATCCACAGCTTTTGGAGAGAAGTCCAGCCAGGGTTCGAGGATGAGAACCAGAATGCCTCTGGTTTGGGGCAGCTCAGATGGTTAACCTGAGCCTCCCACCTCCGGGGCAGCCATCCCTGGCAATGGAGACAAATCAGAGGGGTTATTGAGGGACCCACACACACAGAGGAGAAAGGTGCTGTGCCATTAGTGAACTATCAAAGCACGTCAGTTACACTTTCCTTTTGTCTAACAGGCTCTGCCCACGTCCCTGTGGATGTCGCAGGGAAAGCCCTCTCCAAAGTGTCTGGGACCAGGTCAGTCACCCTGACAAGAGCCTGAATCTCATATAAGGTCTGACTGCATCAGCATCCAAATCGAAATTCTAAGGCAAGGAGCTATATTTTCATCATTATGTAGTTTTCACCTCATATATGAACACACTTAAGGATATAAATTTTTTTAAGGAGAAAAATTAAGCCATAGATATGACCAGGAGAGCAAACTGCTCTTCATCATCTTATTGACCAGAGAGCCACAACAGCATTGGGGAAGGAATACATGTAGCTAACCTATTCCATACTTTTCCATCATTGTATTAACTCAGAGAGAGGACATCTGTCCAGATTTGCACCAGCTTCAAATAGCAAATTCTGGTTAAACGTAATGCTTACCAGTTTGGATTTCCCATCCTTTCAGCTCACCTTAGTAACTTCAAATGTTTTCTTCGTCTCCCTTCTACTGGCTCACCATGTAGTGCCTTGCTCAGACTGTTATCAGCTAAAATACAGCCTAATTGGCTGTAGGATACCAAAGGCATTGACCAGTTCAGTTACTGGACACAGAAATGATTCATGCTGATAACTGAGCTTGTGGAGGGTTTAAGAAACACTACTGACTCTTTGTACGTACACCTGGAAACCTCCAAGGAATGCGGCAATTACAACGAGTATCCACAAACTCAGAAAGGTGGATGGTGAGAGTTTTTAGCTTCAGTCTAGTTCCAAGTAATGCTCTGTTTATACCACCGAAATCCTCCACAGCTAGTAGCCTCAGACAACTGAACAGCTCGTGGTGTCTCCAAAAAGGCCTTCTGGTGGCATGGCTGGCACCCCTGCAAGACTGCTGGGCTCTCAGAGCTGGGCTGCCTGGTAAGACACCCACTACTAGCTGGTCTCTTATCAGCGTAATTCCAAAAGGATTAGATTAGGAGGAACAGGTCCAATTCCTCTCACAAACACACTGGCTTAAACATGGATGTTTCAATGTTTAGTTACCAAATGTGGCCACAGACAATGGCATGTTGTCACTACAGGTTTGAATGTACCCACACACGTGCAGAGCCTGACAGTCACAGAGTACTTAAGACTGATCTTAAGACAGGGATCTCTCCGTCCCCTCTTCCAAACAGGTGTAATCATATCTAATTGCCTAGGGCAGAATTGAGACTTAAAACACCTCCAAGGACAGAGATACCGCAATCTTTCTGGGCAACCTGTTTCCAAATGTTTCAGGTCACCTAAAAAAGGTCAGCAAGTTAGGCTACTTTCTGTAGCCTGGAAAAAAACCTCCTTCCTGAACAATTCAAGCCTTTGGCTGAAGTGACCACCAGCTCAATTGTCAATGTGTATGAGCTCAAGTGCTGCAGCACTCTGAGAGAACACGTGCTCTGGTTGCACACCCACACCTTCTGCCAACACCTTTTTTACATGAGGATGCACAAGTCAATGGCAGTGGAATACCAGTGGCTGTCGGCTGGCCAGAAATCTGGTAACCAAACTTCCTGGTGCCACTTTAATGCCCCTCCGAGACACAACAACAAATTCAGACATACCTTTTCTTTCCGTCTGATGTTTTCCCACACTCTGTTACACACCATGCACTCAAAGGTGTCAATGTAATTGTCCTGGGTGACATCCTGCACTCCCCACTTGCGTTCCTTCATTGCTGTAATCAGTCTTGGGTTGGAGATGTCCCCTTTCAGTTTCCATTGTAGGTAGGACTCGTACTCTTCATCATTTCTATCCAGTGTTTTGATATAGTGGGCCAGCTCCCGAGGGTGTGAAAAGCTGGATACCAGGATTGCACTCCTGTTACTGGGAAGCCAGTCTACAATGCTGGGAGACCCAAAGTACACTGGTACCACTCCCAACTTCAGCGGCCGCCAGAGTTTTTCAGTGATATAATCTTCACAGATAGCATTTTCAAAAGCAAGAATGAACTTGTACTGTGCCAGTATCTTTAAAAAGTTCCCATCATCCATGGCAGACGGATTCCTGAGATGCTGAGGAAGGTCTTTATTATGCAGACATTCCCCATAAGAGTCTACTTCGATGTGGCACATCAGCTCACGCACGTAGCTGTCCCGATCAGAAGGGGGGTCGCAGTCAGACTGCACGTATACAAGTGGTGCAAGTCTCTTCCTCAGGATGTTTTTCATCTGCAGTGGGATCATGAACCTCAAGGACTTCAGGACCTCTACACCCTCCAGGTACTGAGTGGTCAGTGGCAGGTGGGAATGGCGGCTAAATGTTGCAGTGTGGTTGAATAAGGTGATGGTTGCTTCATGGAAGAGTTTGTAGTTGTTTTTTGGTGACTCTTCATGGAAAAGGGCCCAATCATGATATTCTTTACGAGGGAGGGGCAAGCTGTCTATACTGAAGTCGGTACCTAGAGAAAAGCAAACAGTGTTCATTCTGCTCTTATCTATCACCTGACACTACAGTGACAAAGAAATCTAGTTTTAATTTAGTACCAGCCCTACAACCATCACATTTATGATGTTAAAAGGCAGTTGTTTCAAAAAGTGCAATTATGCAAAGACACAAGAGCGTAATGACGGATAAAACTGAATTTTGCATCAGAAGAATCTGGAAAAGCAGGATCAGTAGGTAATATTAGATGTGTTTTCCTTTCATGTCATATTAGTTTAAAGGCCTCTCACTTCAAAGGATCACTAGGAATTTTTTATTTTCATGCACTTTAATGAGACTAGTAAGATGCTTAATAATCCCCTGGATCTCTAAATAGGAGAACAGATGGTATTTTCTCTATGATGTGAGAGAAATGGTTACTGCGGGCTCAGTTTTGTTCTAGTCACAAAACAACAAAAAGGATGCTAGAATATTGGGCAGGGTTAAGGAGAAAAAGTACAAGAACGACTTCAAGTTTTGGAAAGACATTGTACTGTAGAGACTTTGAAAGCCAAGCTATTAACTTATCAAAGAGAAAATTAAGAGGTGATGTATCACAGCTGCCTTCCAGATACATAAAGAAGTAGCTTCTGGCAGAAGACAACTCCCCAAACTAATGCCAATAGTAGAAGGAGAATCACGTCTAAACTCTAAAAACAAGACAACCACAGAACAACTTGGGAAAAATGTGGTAGAAGGTTTAGAACAAACCCTGAAGATTTTTCTCAAAGCCTGGTCTGTGCAAAACTGAGTTGAAAATATCAGCTGATGAATCTGACTCCTGCTCTCCCTTCAGCACCACACCTCTATAACTAGCCTTGTTGCAGATCAAATGCAAAGTTGCTGAATCTCTGTCAAGATACTTCCTCACTGTCTTATAAGCAAAAGCACTGAATATTGAAAACTTTTAACTTGTATTGTCAAGCAAGAGAAGTTCAAAAACTGAAACAAACACTGAACAGCTGTCTTAGCAAAGATCGCAGATCCTTATCTTTGGACAAGCTACTCTACCATCTGTGGCAACCCAACCTTTGTTTAGCAAGCTCCGTGGTCGACTGCATCTAGGACAATTGGGAACATGATGTCTTAAACAAGCTGTTCTCAAAGCAACTGAGGGGAGCGGCCGGGTAAGAAGCAGATTCTGTGGAGGTGGGGCAATGCTTTGCTGGTGACAACTTCTGCTGCACAGCTGTGCAGACACAAGAAGCAGGGTCAAACAGCAGTCACAACCCAGAGGAGGCTAAGGGCCACCAAGGACCCCAAGGCACTCCTGACTCTTTCAGGAACTCTCCATCAGAAGACTGAGTGTGCCTCATAGCCTTGCATCAGACACAGAGAATTCTCGTCCTGGGGAGGGATTGAGGTGTTCCCATCCTAATTTAAATGCATGATGAAATCTCTGTTTTGAGGGCCCCCATCCCCAACAGATAAAGACTGTAACCATCACCCCTATGAAGGACATAGAAATTGCAACCAAGTCTTGTCACTGGGTCCATCAGAGGTGCTCTCTTTCCTCTCCACTACCTACTCTTATCCCTTCCTTCTCCTTCTTTCTTTTCCTTACGTATTGCCTTTGTGAAATTTTTATACTTATATAGAAAAGAACCAAAACAGCCACACACCTCCTTTCCACTGCAATTAAACTGTTTTAAAATGAACCTGGCTCACATATACACAACCGGTCACTCAGTTTCATTTCACTCTAATTCACCTCAGGGGATTTATAAACAGAAGCTCAGTTACCCTGCCTCACAGGCAGGTCATAACATCACCTCAGTCACACTTGTAACTTTTCACTCCCCATTCTACCCTTGACCTCAAATCACTGATGGCAAAAAAGAGGGTACTAGCAAAACTCTTACACAGAATATTGATCCAAAAACTAAAATATAAAGATAATAAAAAAAACACCCAGTGGCCTTTGCAGCTTCATGAGACTGCCAAGATGACTCCAAGGATGACTTTATAAAACCAACATAAGACTTCACTACTGCAGTGAAGATAAAAGTTAGCTGTTCGTAACAAAAATCTCCTATAGAGTAAGATCCTTCAAGAGCATCAGATGGAGTTTTTCAGGACCACTACGTATTTGACCTTCCATTTTCCACTCAAGACCAGTCCCAAGCCCTCAACACTAGAAGGATGAAGGGCTGTGCCACTCAGTGCAAAAGGCTATTTGCTTATTCTGTTTTTAATATGTTCTAGTGATACAAGAGGGTGACAAAAACTGAAAATGAAAAAATTCTCACAAAGAAGGTCTATCTGGTTTTGAAAACACTTCACTCTAAGTGATGCCAAGAAGAGAAGCAGCAATGCATACCAAAATAATGAAATGCTGTGGGGTGAAACCATAGCACTTCAGCTTAGTCTCTTGCAACGGTTCTCCCTCTTTAAAGTACCATTGCAGAGAAGGGAAGGGGAAAATGCAGGCAAGAATGAGAGGAAGACAAAAAGTCAACATGTAAAACTAACTAAACTAGGAGACAGTTAATGTTAGGCAAAGGAGAAACCTAAAGAAAAATTGCACTACAGAATCACAGAATTATTTAGGTTGGGAAAAGAACTCTGAGATCATCAAGTCCAACCTTGGACTGATTACTACCTTGTCAACAAGACCACGGCACTAAGTGCCATGTCCAGTCATTTTGTGAACACCTCCAAGGACAGTGACTCCACCACCCCACTGGGCAGTCCATTCAAACATTAAACAACCCTTTCCATAAAGAAATTCCTTCTAATGTCCAACCTGAACCTTTCTTGGTGAAGCTTGAGGCCATGTTCTCTCATACTTTTACTTCTCCCTGCTTGGCAGAAGATGTCATGCCCACCTGGCTACAATCTACTTGTAGAGAGTGATGAGGTCTCCTCTGAGACTCCTCCAGGCTAAACAACCCCAACTCCCTCAGCCACTCCTCATAGGACTTACTCTCTAGACCCCTCTCCAGCTCTGCTGCCCTTCCCTGGACACGCCCCAGAACCTCAATGTCTTTCTTGAAGTGAGGGCCCAGAACCGGACACAGGACAGATCAGAGCACATCAGAATGACAACACTTAATCAATCCTAGCCCAGCAAGAAAACAAAAAATATTAAAGGGAAGATACCATCTGCATGCTCCCTATCCCATGAGATGAAGGCAATAAAGGAGCGTACAATAGAATAAAAAAAAAAAAAAAAGGCACAAAGGCACTACAAGACTAGAATTATGAGCAATTTCAACTTCCAGACTATTACTCTGTAAATCTTAAATACGTGGCAAAGTGCAGAAGAGAAAGATACAAGGTGTTAGGAGGAGTTCTACATTTTAGGAGGCATCTTCCATTTGGGAGTCATGTTCCAACACACAAAGCTCCAGCCCAGAACGGCTGGACATCCTCCTCCCTTAGGAACAACACCCCTGAGGCTGTGACAGATCCAGCTCATGCCGACTCACTCACACTGGCAGCTCGTGCTGAACACAACACTCTGCGAATTACGCGACACTGAAAAGGTGGAACTGGGAATCCCTC